ATCAGTACGTCTCAAGCCCAGTTTTGTGACCAGTTCATACATGTGGGTCCTAGTGGCTGAATTTGGGTAAATTTTCGTGACACGCCTCCTTTTGTATTTGGCTCGTGCGTTGTTGCATTTTTTAGAAGTGTATAAAATCATGATGGTGAAGCAATGCGGTCAGCCTTCCTCCTGGCTGGGCGGGTCACCCTTTAACCGAGGCCAACTTTTTGTTTCTCACGTAAACAGTTCACCACATTTTGTTAGGAAATGTCCCTTCTACCCATGACAACTTGTCTCCATAGAAACGGAGCCTTGGGAAAAGAGCAGCTGCTTGGGTCTGCGTTGAGGCCTGTGCCAACCCACATGGCTACACCCAGCTGCATGGCAACCTTGCATCAACTGAACTGAACAACCGTCAGATAGCCTGAGAAAACAGCCGACATTTCGTAACACCACCAGTGGTTTCCCTGTGAAATGACGTCTGAGAAATGACTGCAGAAATTTCGTACTGTTGAGGTGCCATTACCCAGTTCTGGGTGGTGCTTCTGATTGGTCGTGTGCCGAGGGAAAATTGCAATCAGAAGCACTACTCAGATCTGGGTAGTGACACACGACATCGCCAGTATGAAATTGCTGCAGTCATTTCCAAACGTAATTTTGCGGAGAAACCAGTGGTGGCGTCCCCAAATTTTGGCTGCTTTCTCAAGCGACCATTGAGATTGTTGTCGCAAATCAAAATCTTGACGATAGAAGCCAACTCAACTTGGGTTGACTACCATGCAAAAAACTCAGTTTAATTTTAAAGTTTCAAAGTAACGTACAATAATGAACAAAAGCTACAACCGAAAGTTACTTTATACTTAAGGCTGGTTTAAAGCAGCAGCAAGCTTATCATAAGTACCTTTTGTTACCTAATTAACAAGCATAATTCATAACACTTGACCTGCACCATTCTTAAGCAGCTCTGTGACTGGTCTGCTATGAGCACTTCTGTTTCGAATGTTTGTCCTTCCTTGGAGCGGAGGGGAAGTGCTTGAAACCTGGGCGGATTTACCTTTATGGGCCTTGCTCCAAACATCAGTTTTTAAAAGGTCTTTTCGGCGGTGACTTGATTTTGTAAACTCAATGGATAAAACTTTTTTTGTGAGTTGGTCTCTCTCACCGATGCAGTATCCTTGATTGTGTTGAAACTATAAATTCCTTCAACCACATTATCATTTTAAACTGAACCAACGAATCACAGAGATGCACATTTTCATGCGCATTTTATGAGGAAAAAAAAAACATTCCTTTGAACTCGATAACCAACCAAAGGGCCGCTTTGGATTTGTGCAGGGCATCGCGTGAATGCATTTTCTTAGTCATTTGGTTTAAAATAAAAAGGCATAACACCGTTTATATAAGCCGTTCACAAAAGTGTTGATGCACACACGCGCGAGTCCACCTAGTCTCGATTTCTTCGATCGTTCCAGTAGTCTGTGCTAGGTCCGTGCGTGATTTAATGCCTGTTGCCGAAATGAAGGAATGTTCATGTCTCCCCGCATGGCTGAAAACCCTTATTAAACTCTCCACCTGACGGACATTGCGTGTGTACCGACACTTGCAAAACATACAGTAATAGGCCACTTCCGAGTTCCAAAAACCCTCACTTTCAAAATGAGGCCAAGTGCACAACTTTTCTTGAGAAAATGAGTGTTACTTAAATACATCATGTCCATGTTAAAGGCTGAGCACCTAACCTCGTTTTGATACGGAGGCCCAGGGGTAACTCAGAAGTTAAATGGCCTATTGCGAACTACAATCCTTAAATTACCTTCATTAAAATGCCTACAAAATTTCCTTTGACATTGTGCAATATACGTAGCTAAGAAATATTGCATAGTAATGAACAAGTTTCAAAGTGTCGAAGCTTCAACTCTTAGGCTCAGTGGGGGTGCAAGATTCCATTTTGTTCTTTGCTTTTTTCCATTCTAATTTTTCTCAGACAGGAACTGAGCCTGAAAGCTGAAGCAAAAGACACTGCAAATTCCAGCTATAAAATGGAAACAAAATTTGTCATAGTGCTGGCTGTACATCACAATCCGGCTGTGAGGCTTACTTGTTGACTATTTACATACCGTATTTATTCGAATAAGCGCCCATCCTAAAGGCAGAAAAAGTTATTAAGTGCCCAACCTCGAATAAGCGCCCACCACCTAACATCCATCCAGCAAGCTGTATCTGCTTCTCGGGCACCTAACCCATTTGCCGGCTTTACGATGTCGGACATCCAGGAGGTAGCACCAGAGAATTCACTTACTGACTTCTTTAAAGACGGAGTTTTCTTCAGAGTAGTTTACAGAAACCTTGCTTTGATGTTGTTTTGTTGCAATATAAACATTACTACAGTTGCTGAAAATGGTGAAAATTCAATAACGCCCACTCTCAAGGTCCAAAAATTTAATAAGCGCTCAGGGCGGTTAATCGAATAAATACGGTACACCATTTTTATATTTGGCTCAAGATGACGAGATTGAATGGGGACCCTCCATGTAAGAACGCCTAATTTTGAGCTGAGACTGAGCCAAGACTAAACTTGCTTATTTTTGTGGCGATTTGAGCCGCAAAACGTTCTTAGATGTTTTTAAATTACATTTTGTAAACATTGTATGGACGACTTTTAATTCACCGCTTGTTTTGAGAGGCCAATAGTGACCTCAGGAGAGGCAACAGTGCACACAATGTTCAGCCAAACATGTACAGCAGTCTTTACAGCAATTTTTCTATATTCCTCACGTTGAAATTGGAGGAATCGACAGTGTTCTAGACTGAACTTCAGCCTTGGCTTTGCTCTGCTCTTAGGATATTCTTAAAAAGGTTTCTATAAAACAGGAGTAAGCGTGGCTTAGCACCAGGACGCCGAGGACTGATCAGGAAGCCAGGAATTAACACAGGACCAGTTCATGAGCTTTCGCCCCGCTCTTTACTACTAATTTCTATATCAAGCGCACAAATTTCCCTCACTTTTTCGTTGGCAGAAGTACCTAGGATTCTTTTCCTAAAAAAGCGAGCTGCAGAATAAAAGGCCACTGGAATAAAGCATGCTGTACAGTCTCTAACGTCCTGTAAATCTATCCACGCTGCCTCGTTAAACCTTGGGACTAAGGGATCCGGAACCAGACCTTGAGATAAGGGGAGGAGGGCCCGGTCATCCAGACCCTTAGATCAGGGGGAGGCTCGGTCTCCAAAAACATTTTTTTCATTTTTTTATGGTGTTCAAGAACCTTACTTAACCTTACTTAAGCCTGTGGTTGTTTGTCTCTAGGAAAACCAAAATAAACCCAGTGGCGGATCCAGAGGGAGGGGACTTAATGACTTAAAATTAACGAAAATCTGGACAAAAGTATTTTATCACTTAACTCAAGAGACGAATGCTTCAAAGCTGAGCACTGCACTGTTAGAATATTACGTATCATGACAGCAAAGCTCTTCGCAGTAGAAAGGAATGTGTAACGATTTGGAATGATGTCCTAACGAAGTAAGTTATTAGGGAGCTTAAGCAACTACGACGACGACCACAATGACGACTTCAAAAAAACAATAGGTTTAATGATCAAAACAACAGTTCTGCACATCGCTCTTTTTAGTTCATTTCTTTGATGTCCACTGCGCGACTACGACGTGAAACCTCCTAATTCGCCGTTTTATGGAGGACGTGAACATACGAATTTTCTTTCCACTTTTTGAACCCGAATAAAATCCTTAAGAATTCAACCCCAGGAAAAGTGGCTAGCATTTGACATATTGAGCAAGTCTAAATAGACGCGATTAAGTTTGAAAGAACGCAAATTCATTTTTTTTCACCGACGTTTACACTGCCATTGTCGTCGTCCTTACTTAAGGTCCCTATTGGCTTCACCAATGAGCACAAGTTGGATCCCCGTTATTAAAATTTTCTGGATCCGCCCCTGAAATCAATCATAGAGTGGTGAGTGCATCCTTTCCCACTTTGCACTCCTTGCGCGCGTTCAGAAAAAATTGTAAGTTTTTGATATGTTTTTCCTTAGAGCTTTTTGAGTTCTTTGTGCCCGCCGTGATAACATAACAGATACAAGAGACAACTGAATGAAAAATGCTGACATTTTAAAAATCCCTTACATATTTGCGAGTGATATAACTCAGGGGCACTTAACGACTGTTTTATGTAAAATATCTGTTCGGAGAAGCAAAAATTTCTAGATGACCGTTCCATTCATGACAATTTTCAAAACTTATCTCATTAATTCCCTACGATTTCCTGACGTTCAAGTTTCACAAATCTCTCTCATTGCTTCAATGAGGTTTTTCTATCACCATTATCTGATAATAGTAAGCTGCAACTCTGTTTCTCTTGGCGTGTTATCTATGCTGATGCTACGATTAATATTAATGTTACCTGTCGTACCTACCCACAGAGACCGCAAAGTGAAAGAAGAAGGCTTGGTCCCCATCGGGAGCGCACGGATAAGGGCGCAAGGGATGATGGAAAGTAAAGAAGAGGGAAAACTGGATTGAAAGATGCGGAGGAGCTCAAATTGCGTTACATTAAAGTCATATCGTCATAAACAAACAAACAACAACAACGAAAAGCACAAAGTCAAAAGCTCAGGATACAGTTCTTTATGTGGTTGTTTCATAGAATACTTCGATATCTGTTGGCGTGAATGTGGAGTTTCCAACATAGAATGTACACTTTCGAGCAGATGAACAATACCCTGGTGGGAGAGGGTATTTCTTGCCACAATAAGTAGAAGAATCCTGGTTACTAGCAGAGTTGTTTGATATGCGAATATCTTTCCAGCCAAATATTGGTCCATCTGAATCACACCTTCTTACAGCTTGATGGTAACTATCAGGCTTGACTCGCAGCTTAACAGGATTGTACACAGCGTGTCCAGAACCGTTGTTATTGGTCAAGGAGTAGATAAAGGCTTTACTTGAATTTCCATACCGACAACCACCTGGGAGATAATGACGACATTTTACAATTCTTACTGACCTTACTAAAGGCGCTCATAAACAAATTAACTTCTAGGAATATTCAATGATCCGGACTTCAGTTTAAAATAGTGAGTGCAAGTCCTGCTTGACATACAAACATTTCTAGACAACCCATGCATTACTGCACTGATATTTAAAAATTTGCTGTATTTGTATAAATTTTTCAATGTTCCTAAAAAAGTGTTGAGCCACACATCCATTTGTTGTCTTGATAAGTACAGTAATGACACTGTATTGACTTTGAAATTGGTGAGGGAGGAGAAAATTATTCTAGAAAATTAGGCAGTTTTAGCAGAGTAACAAACTTCTATGATGAGCAGAAAGGGAGCTCTCCCTAAACTGGAATCCCTCAGTGTTAGTAGAAAAGAGCAGGGTTTTTGTCCTGAAAAGGGATTTATGCAAACTAGAATCGTAACTGAATTCAGATCTATCGAATTATGACAGAGCCTGAAACCCACTTGAAGTCCATAAAATACAAATGACAGACGGTATCACCCATGCATCTAATACATTTTTTTTTCAACCTCCGCATGGCTGAACCACTTGATTCCGTGTTTCATTTAGCTTTTGTAAAAGCTAAAAATTACCTTTAAAAAGGTAATTTTGGTCATGAATGTTAATGGATGTGACTACAACATTAGCTTTTTTACGATGGAAAATTTTTCCTTTTTATCCTTGTGACTACCGTGACCCGGGGGGGGGGGGGTGGTTCTTAAGTGACACTTTTCTTTATTAAAAAGAGTCCGCAGTACATAGTTAGAGAACTTTAAAGATTATTCAGTAAAATAAGGCTGGCACCAGAGGCGTCCTCTCCTTTGGAGTGGCCCCTTAACGGGTTTTGGTAAGGAGAGAACGAAACCAAATTTTGCAAGATTTTGTTTATTGATGTTGTGATTTAAACCTGAAATCAACGATAAAAAAGTAAATTGACGTTTCGATGGTTTCATGTCATCATTATCAAAAGATATGAAATTAACATGATTCGTGGAAGTATATACAGTCCGGGCCACAACCAGATCTGGATATGTAATTTCCTGCAATCTGATTGGCTCAGAGCTCAACCAAAACATTGACTTGACCGCGAAAGGACTAAGCTCGACAGAAATGTCGAATAGGGAAACTTGGAACGCACCTTGAAGAAAAGTAACAGCAATACGGAGCCGATTAATCGAGATTATTTTATGCGTCATAGCGTTCGATTTACGAATATCGAGATGTTAATGATCGAGAACGCTTTCTGTAAACACCCGTGGATTTCTGATAATGTTTCAAGAGACCAGAAACAACTCGACGACTCAGATCGAATTGGAAGCATAGGGAATTTGAATACCGCGATACATTTTAAGCGGAAAGGTTTTGAGAAGTCCTGTTTGGAATTATTTCTGCGAGCACAGCTTCGACCTGGAGAAGTCTGTTCTATTCTACTTCAGGCGCAATACCATACGCCCTAAAATCTAATTTCGAATGATAATCTTAATGCTAATTATTCTTGCTGTATATAAATTTCCAGTATATTGAATCGTCACACATGTTGGAAATATGCGAAGGTCAAAGAAATAAAGAAAATTTGTAGAAATTGCACTCGCGAAGAGTCGTAAGCAGTTATTAACGAACTTCTGTCTACGTGTTGCTTATTGCAAATTGCAAAACCCCATTGCGGATGAAAATAACGCAAGTGGACGTATTCGTGTTCTAATAGCTGTTAAATAGTCACTGAGAGGACGTAAACATAATTTAATTGACAATTGTATTTTGAAAAACAGCTTTGACAAATGAAATAGATGTGCAGACTTTACTATTGTTTGTGTCAAAAAATTTAATAGAATGGTTTTTCACAAGACAAGAAAATATTATATATATTTATATCTCTATATTTTTTAAAAAAATTTGTTCCTTTAAATTTTTGTTATTAAGGGGGTGCATCAGTTGAGACGACTGATGCGGTTCCAAATCTCAAAGGAAGATGTCACATTGGGATTCAGGGCTAGTACAGCATCACAGTAGTTTTGTGGCATGAGAGATTTCATAATACCATGTGCCTACTACCTAGGATATAGTAGTTTTACGGTAGATAAAAATACCACGACTGTAATATGGGTTACAGACGGATACAATTCTAGTTTAGTCACATTTTCACTTGGTATTGCAGTAGCAACATTCACTTTTATTGCACTAGCAATCATTTCCCTCCCTCCCTCCCTCCCTGTAGGGTTTTATTTTGTTCTATTCATGAACAGTGTGATCACTTTTATTATTTGATAGAGGTTGTTTTAATTCTTTTTTAGTTTGGTCTTTCTTATTTGTTGGAGCACTTTATTTTTATACTTAATATTACCTTTTAGTTATTTACCATGTATTGTGTTTTGTTATGATTAATAAAGGCTGTCTTGTATTCCAAACAATGCCTGGGTTTCTGAGTTTTGTTGATTTAGTGTAAAAACTATGTCATTATAGTAATATCCTGTCACTGTAGGTGGAATACATACACACTGAAAAACTTAGTGGGCACTAAGCCTCTATTATTATTAGATTATGTTTGTCCTGTATCATACAGTCAAACCCCTCTTTACTGACACCAGCTTAATGCGGACTCCCTGTTATTATGGGAAGTTTCCTTGGTCACTGGGGAAAACCCTTAATTTTTCTCTTTATTCAACCCACTTAATACAGACTGACCTGTTAAAAGGGATAATGGACGTTTTATTCTTCCTCAATGAACAGATTCTCATATAAAGCCAACCTCGCTAATCTGCAGACTTTATAGTCCATTGTGTGCTGTAGTCAACCTCTTTTTTTGTAGGGTAAAAAAACCTTTCATTTAGTTGACATCACATGTTCCCAGCATCATAGTACACCAAAATGAATGAATTGTGCACAACAATAATAGACCATTTTGACATCAATCGAGTTGGTAAATTTTACTTAATTTTTGATCTATTTTCTCGAGACTTCCGTGTGTTTTCATGGACACAGTCTGCAGAATAAGAGCTTAGTGATGTTTAAAGATGTTAGGTGTGATGCTGTAGTATTTCGATAAAAAAAAGTGTATTTTTGACTAACAGGACTTGCTTGATATGGACACCTCCGTTATATAGACACTTCCTATGGCCCCTTCAGTGTCCATATCAATGGGGTTTGACTGTAATTATGAAATATTTAACAGTTTTGTAAGATCGATCATTTGGTGTCCTGTTTAAAGTGTATTTTCAGCCATTCTTCACATTTTCCACCTTGCATGTCATAACCTAAGGCAAAGTATAAAAGTAACAAATAAATAATAAATTAAAAAATTATATAAGCAATCGAAAATACAGCGGTGTATGACATTTGCAGACTGCAGACCGCAGACTGCAGACTGCAGACTGCAGACTGCAGACCGCAGACTGCAGACTGCAGACCGCAAACTGCAGACTGCAGACTGCAGAACACAGACTGCAGACCACAGATTGCAGATTGTAAATTAAAAGACACCAAAAATCTTCCTAATAAAGGTGACACCATCAAAAATATAACATCGTGTGAAAGTGAGAAGGTAGCCTGGGAACAAGGTTGATATTTTTGCGCAAAGTTACATTGGTCTCATTTCCAAGATGCTGTTGGCTATTCTTCACCGACGCGACTCTTTATTGACTCATCCGGCATATCACTAATTGCGTTGATTCTTTATTCTTCTTTGATTATTGTGAATTGATAATAACAAGTAGCAATGCCCACTAATGCCTGTCTAAATAGTAGTCTTCTGTAAAAAAAAGTTTTTAGATTGCAAGCACTTCGTACTCACTACAGTTACGTCAACGAAAACAACTAGGATATATCACGGACATTTAACACCTTTTAAATGACGTATTTCATCTTAGCAGTTTTTAAGGATGTGCTAAATAATCTAAACCGAACAGATCCTACCTGGACTCGACGAATTACCGGAAGTGCATTTTGAATTTCTAAATAGGCAAATCGACAATGGCTTTTTTAACAGGCCAATCATTGCTCATACTCAAATCCTAGTACACAGGTGGGGCTCCCGTAGAAAAAGGATTCTGGCGCTGTTTCACAGACAGACTTATATAACCAGAGTTTAGTTTCGTCTGTGTTGCAGGCTAAATTGCTAGCCTTTTGCTATGGATCCATGAGCGAGTTTGTGACATCGGCAGACATTATTCTGCTCTAATCCAATACAAGAAGAACAGCCAACAACTCCTTTAGGAATGAGGTCGGTGTAATTTGCATGAAAAATATAAACTTCGCTTCTAGGTCTTACATGTACTTCTCGGAACAAGGTAATTTTGATGATGATGCCACCTTTATTACGATACTTTTGGTTTCATTCAATTTACAGTCTTGCTGCCTCATGCAGTCTGCAGTCTGCAAATGTCATACACCGTTATTATATTGTCAGCATTGACACTTTAATTCAGTAATCGAAAATTATATAAGTGGGAAACTGGTTTGCACTGTTGCATACTGTCTCATGACAGTGATTAATCAACCATCATCATTTCAGTCAAGATTTTTGTATTCAAAGCTATCGTATTGCCTCCTACAATGTGGGCTCGCTTGGGGCTATTCTTGTTGTTTTCACTTTTCTGAACTCGTGACAAGGCAGTCATTTACAAGTAGAGTTTCAGATGTAATTTTCTATTGTTTAAACTTGAAGAAGCAGTTATCTTACTCGTATCACCATGTCATCAAGACCTTCGCATGATTCTGCAACTGATCTGAGAGTTTTCACCATGTTTGAAACCCTTTTAAATATTGAGGTTCTGCAGGCAATAGCAGTTTGAGGAGTGTTCCTTCCACACAAACAGTCTTATTCCTTGCTTTCTCCCTTCAGAGATTTCGGGGTCCAAGTTACCCGAATTTAAATGATAAACGACTCTCCTACAAGCCGAACACACTTTCTGTGGATGGATTTCTCTGGAGTCCAGCCCAATATCTACGCCAAAGAAGTTCAAAAGTTCCCTTCGAAACGCTGTTTTGTCGCAGTTCTGGACAGTTTTGACTTTAGAGAACGTTTTCCCACACAAACGGCATCTTCTTTGCAAAAAACCAAGGTGATTTTTCATCCGACTGCAAAATAACGTAAAATAAACATGGCGTTACAAAAACCCGCACGTTAACTGCGCAACTGACTTTTGCATCTTTAAAAGCACAGCACTATGTGAAACTGCTTTGCACTACACCAAACAGACCACTATCAACAAGCAAATTTTATGTAGATTTCAAAAAAATTTTTTCAAAGGTCCAAAAAATGACACTCACCTTCTCTTTTTCGATGTTTTGCTCCTTGTCGGGCATTTCTTTGAGCTGAAAAACTCTCGTGTTCGGTCGTTTTACCTCCCAAGAACGCACAAACGTTCATCGGACGGCATTTTTTCTTCACACCCCTGATTTCGCATTGTCTAAAGTCACAGCTCTCAAAGTAGTATGGGGAAAGGACACTTCTAGGCGCAGCAAAGAGCCAGGAAGTGACCTTCCCTCGTGTTTCTCGGCGTGGGCGCCATTTTGCAAATGTGGGTGACGTCATCATATATCCAGATCTGGTTGTGGCCCTGACTGATATATTATCTTTGATAATGATGACATTAAGACAAGCTTCTTTTTTATTATTGACTTTTGTTTTAAAATGTATTTCAAAATCGATTCTTATAAGATTTAAACCTGACCGGGATAATTTAATTTAAATAGTGAATTAGAGAAAAACAAACTTCTGGTAGTTCATTTCGAGTGATGTCATCATGAAAATGGCCAACTCTGATTGCTGAGGAATTACTTTCTCGCTTTGATTGTAGCTGCGCCGTTGATTGTAAAATGTTGACGTAAACAGAAAATTTTTACATCATGATATTACAAAAGAATTCAGCAAAAATATACTATGAAAAATTACCATATCATCGATCTCGCTGTATTAACTTTTTTTTTGATCGTTTGGCTTCATTGTTAGCTTGTTTCTGATTAAGCAAAATAAACAAAAAAAGTTCCTGATTCTCCTTTCCGAGTAAAGTTCAAAATTTCTCGTGCCTCCGAACCCCTCAACCCCCGCCTGCCTCGGTTGGCCGTTTGGTCTGGCTACAGAAAAACATCAAGGCCGCTGTACTTTTCGTTCTTCAGGTAAACAATTCCTTATTCATCACCCGTATCCACCAAATATAAAACTGCCGACTTGAATGATAGTTACAGTGGGTCCCTTGTCATCACAGTTGCCGTGGAACGTAGACGCCGCCCAGCCGTCCTCTTTAGCGTGCCAACACCTCACAAACCTACTACGGACTGAACTATTGATCACGGGCTCCAAAAACAACGTCAAATTCTCCAAGTACCTACTGTCGTTGCCAAGAATAGTTGATGCATTAAAACCACCTTAGAAAAGAAATCATTGGTTCATGTCTTTGGTATGATCGCACGCGGAAAAGCGCATCAATCCAGCAAATTATGGCACTCACCGTAGCGGTGCACGGATAGTCGTGCTAAAGGTATATGAGACTCTCTATGGGCGAAGTCGCGAAATCGCTTTATGAAACGACAATCTTAGAGATTAAGCCCCCGTCCACAGGTATCCGGATATTTTTGAATCCGCAACTTTTTCTTTGCGGATCCGGCTTCCGTTCACACGTATCCGGTGAATCCGGCATACGAATCCGCTACTTTCTGAATCCGCTCTCCAAAGAGGAAATTTTTGAATGAGTTATAAATCCGGAATCATGTGGACGCTCAGTCTAAATCACACTTACCCATCTCCTAACCGGTGGGGAGCGCTGGGAAGAGACACCCGACGGGTTAGGGGGTGGAGACGTATGACATTTCAGACTCTTTGAGTGGGCGCCAAGAGCCACTTTTGTGGGCGCAAAATCCGGATATTTCCTTACACTGTAACGTTTTGCCCAGTTCTTTACCGTGAATATTCAAGATGGTGCCCAGCGCAATATTATCGCTTCTTTACTTCTTGCACTTCAGTTTCAAGTCGTATAACGTTTGTGCAGGTAAACCTACAATCAGGGACAAAAGTAGTTGACACACTCGTCTAAAACGAGTGCTTTTATCAACATTTTCATACATTTATTATTTCATTCTATTTAAACGCCATAAATCCCCCACCCCACCCCCGAATCAATGTTGTTTGTAGATAAAGAAAGACTTCAGGGTCTAAAACATAACATTGGTTTTGGGGGAGGGGGGTGGAGTACTCAGGGAAGGGGATAGGTATGTCCACTGTTCAAAAGGGGGCATTTTATAGACGTGTCTCAACACGTTTGTCTCTCAATGTAGCTATGATTACTGTACACTTCAATTATGGCAAACGGCGGATTGACATTTTGAAGCTTCTTTCCATGTGGGACGGACGGATTGGACGCCGTAAACAAGTCAAACGAGCGAAATATAGTGCTTGATGGGACAATTTTATCAGTGAAACAGACTGGCGATAAAATTTTCGCTTGAGCCGAAGATCGCTTTATTACAAATTAGCTGACGAACTGAGAGTGAATCCGGTTTCGTGTGGACGGGCAAATTCGATTTGAATACGGATACGTGTGGACGTGGAAATTTTTGAATCTGCAAAGAAAAATTTGTGGATTAAAAATATCCGCATACGTCTGGGCGGGGGCTAAAGCTACGATCGCATTGCCATTTCGATAAAGTTTGAGAACGTCACTCGTGCGACAATGGCAAGGAAATTTTCCAAAAAGTGCGCTGCACGTTCAGGCTTTTTTTTCTTTTGTTTATCACTCAAACCTGTTGCATGTTTCTTTTTATTTTCATGTTACCTTCGCCGTCATGGTGGTTGCTCGAGCTCCCCAGTAGGACCAGTAGCGTTACCATGCAGAACAACTATTAATATGCGACGACTTCGTTGAAAAGCTGACGATTTGATGAGAAAAGGGCGACGAAAACGACGTCCGCAGTTACTCGCCAATAGAGAGGATTGTATATGAAAACAGTTAAATTTATTATCATGCCGTGCTTGCTACAATTCTTACTAAATACTGCGGTTCATTTGCCTTCATGAATCCTCCAAGTGAACTTGAGCTCAGCGTTTAGGTTCCCCACCTCTTTTGCATATATGCAGTCACTAATCCAAAACTGCTCTACAGGTAGAAAGCCCGTAATCTTTCCCGGGTATATTACGAATCAACAGTTGCTCTAAGCCTCTATTTCCAAGCGAGCCTAAGTGCGATATGAAAATGATTTTTTATTCTCATGCAAAAAAAAGTCATTTTCACAAGAAAGATTTTGCACTCAGCCTCATTTTGAAAGTGATAATTCGGAGATGACCTATTTTTGTGAAAGGTTTGAACCCAGGGAATGACCCATTTTTATAATGACCAGCTCCCAGATGGCTTGCTTGCTCGATTGGTTAGAGCGCTGCACCGGTATCGCATAGGTCAAGAGTTTGAATCCGATTCAAGCCCGAATTTTTTTTCAGGCCTTTCTTTTCGCACCTGCATGAAGGGTGGACGCGTAATTTTTGCGCTCGTGTAAACGCACGTAAATCTTACTCGCGTAAATAAAATAGAGACAAGGTACGAAGCCGTGTTGCACTTAAACGTGAAGTTGGGCGAGGTTCAACTTTTACTATTACGCGCGATCCTTCATATATTGCCTCTCTTTTATTTACGAATGTAATTAAATTTTTCTGCTCGAACGCACGTAAAAATTACACGACAGTGGAAATCCACCCTATAAAGGGCCTAAAGCAATTGTTGCCTTCTCTAAACGTCATTTGGATCCAAGGCGCAGTACCAACTAATGACCGGTTTACATGGAGGTGGGGGACCACCCCACCTATCATGTAAATGACATCAAATTAAAATGAGAGATTATATGGACAGGCGGGTTACCCAACCTAAGCGGATCTCCTCACCTACCTGGGGTCCCCCACCACCATGTAAACAAGCCCTAAGCCATCAACCCCCCATTCTCCTCCAACTTTCACTCGGGTCATTTTATATTTCTGGGCTTAATGCTACACTCACGTGTCTTAATGCACTTTTTCCGATATCCATTATATGGTGGGTTACAAACACAGCGATAGGATCCCGGGATGTTTGTACAGTTTGCATTAGCGTCGCAGTCATGTAAGTTGTCAGCACATTCATCAACATCTGAAAAAACAAAATGCCAGAATTACACATAAACCTACCTCCTACATTGGAATCACAGAAATTTTAAAAAGATGAAGTTCAAGGAGCAGTTCAAAGACTGCTTCCGTAAGATCGCTGCGATCGAGCGCTTATTTTACTGCTGTAACAATTAAGTGATCATCTTCATGGTTTTAAGTGTAAGTATAACTAGGGAAAGAGTATCAAAGGGAGCTATAAGCCCCGACTCTATAAAGGCGCGTCATAAAAAATTAATCGGAAAATGTTTGAAAATCTTTAAATAAGAATGACTGAGACCAGGTTATATGAGCCCGCGAGACTGAGCACCCCACCGGCACCTAAATTCTTGTTTTCTCTTAAACCGCTGGACGCCACAACCTGGTTAAGATCAATGTTATCTAAGGTCTTCCCAAATTTTTACCTTCACAGATGCTCCCATTGCCTGTGTAGCCAGGCAAGCATGTGCAGTTGTAAGAGCCAGCTGCGTTTGTACAATTCGCATTTTTGTGACAATCATGGCTTCCCTTTTCGCATTCATCGATGTCTGAGTAAGGAAACGAAAAAAACAAGAAATGAATATAAATTAAGTCTTATTATGACATTTATCAGCAAGTTTTACCTTTACAAATGCTCCCATTGCCTTGGTAGCCAGGCCTGCACGTGCAGTTGTAAGAGCCAGGAATGTTGGTACAGTTGGCATTTATGTGACAATCATGGCTTCCATCCTTGCATTCATCAATTTCTGGAGGGAGTAGAAAATATTAAGTTACAAAGACAACATAACTATATAGTTGCAGGAACAAGAAGTGAAGGCTTGGGTAGCTAATTACAAATGCTCCCATTTCCTGTGTAGCCAGGCCTGCACGTGCAGTATATGAGCCCTAACCTGAGATCAGGCCCAATTTGAGCGGTTCTCATACATTCTCTCTAACGGCTACCGCTGAAATTGGGCCTGATACAAACTATTACAAGTTTGTGCTCGTTACGGCCAGATTTTGGCCGTAACGCTGATTGGCTGTTAGAACAATGCCACAAGATCTGATTGGCTGTCGGAAACGCTGGAAGTTGAAAGCACTTATTCCTAGCGTGGTTGTTTAACAACAACAACAAATTTTATTGAAAATTGGAAAATAACTAATTACATTACTTTCCCACCCGCAAATAGCTTATGAACTAATCGAGGCGGGGGGAGCTGAAGACATATTACAAAACAAGAATTATATATAGATGGACTAAATAACAGTGAAGACACTACAATACAGTAAATAGAGTTTAAACTAACATAAAACAAGGCATGTACATAACGATTACGAAGAGAGGTTAACCTAAAGTATTAAATAACTTAATAAGACGGGAGACTTCGACATAATCATCTTCTGACCGCAAAAAATTTAGTAATAATTCCTTTATTTTTTTACGAAAGGACGAACGTTTAAGTATTTTAATCGAATACGGAATAGAGTTCCAAATTTGGGCACCGATTCTCGTGAAAAAGGCATACATTTTATCGGTTCTAGAGAACTTAACATAAAACGAGTCGCTAGAGACAGATCTTGTTCTGTAGTTATGAATCTGACTTGTTTTAACGAACTGATTGAGAATACTAACTGGTGCTGTCTGTCTGTTGATATCATACAATAACTAGCTACAATCTCTGAAAAATATGCTAGGCAGGGGAAGGCAATTTGATTTGAGAAAGAAGGGTACGGCGTGTTCTTTAGACTTACTGAAGTAAATGAGACGTAAGGCCCGTTTTTGTAGAGTTACGATCTTTCGTTGAAATGTCAAGGCACAATTTCCCCAACCACAAATACCATAAGTCAAGTAAGGGACAATTAATGAGTTGTAAACTGAAAGTAAAACACGACGCGGGACATAATGTCGAATTTTAGCTATAATTCCTATCGACTTGCTGATTTTGTGACAGACAGATTCGATGTGGTATTTCCATGAAAGATTTGAATCAATCATTAAGCCAAGATATTTTACATAATCTTTCATTTCAAGGTTTGCGTAGGTGTTAGTCACGGAGTCAAAAATTCTAATCCTAGGTATGAAGGGCATATTCTTTTGCCGGGGACGAAAGATTACAAAATTTGATTTTTTTATGTTCAAGGACAGTTTGTTGGCCTTTAGCCATTCGTTGACGTTGCCAAGCTCGCGATTAACAAGTGTTTCGAGTTCCTTTAGGTTGTTATTTGCAAGTATTATACTAGTATCGTCAGCAAATAGATAAAAGGCAAATAACGAAGAGGACTTGTAAATATCATTGATGTACAGTAGGAATAAGAGTGGTCCGAGGACTGAGCCTTGTGGCACGCCGCACAAGGTCGTTTCAGCCTCAGACACAACATTATTAACTTCCGTAGTTTGCTTCCGATCAGTCAGGTATGATCTGAACCAGGAGTTTATTACACCTCTAATACCATAATTTTCAAGTTTAGCTAACAAAATTTCATGGTTAACAGTATCAAAAGCCTTTTTGAGATCGATGAAAACACCGCACGAAAATTTACCGTTGTCCATGTTTTGGAGAATTGTGTTAACAATATCAAGTACAGCATGCTGAGTACTGTGCTTACTGCGAAAACCGTATTGCTGATCATAGAGAATGTTGCAATCTTTGACAAACTTGGTAACTCTGGAGTACATAAGTTTTTCAAAAATCCTGTTATAAATCGAGAGCAGAGAAATAGGTCGGTAGTTTTCGGGCAGCGTGTCATCTTCGTCCTTAAATATCGGGATAATCTTAGCACACTTTAGTTTAGATGGAAAAATCCCTGAGCAAATAGACTGATTAAAAATCGTGGCTAGAGGTACGGATATGACCCTTTTTGCTAATTTCAGCAGCCTAACTGGAGATGAGTAGAGACCATGGGCCTTGTTGTCTTGCAAAACTGAAATTTCTAAATTGATATCTTCCGGAATAATAGGATCAAAGAAGAAAGTGCGATTAAGTTTTCGTGAATGATCCGTCGTCGGTGGAGAGAAGGATCGATTTTGCTGTCTTTTTATTGTTTTATGGTCTTATGGTACGAAAATATGCCTTAATATGTGCCATGGAAATTCAGAAAGGTCATGTGGTTGTTCATATCTTCTCAGGATTTGCTTTATTTACGGAAAGTGAGTATATCGCGGAGTTGAATCCCTCTGCAAGTTGTTGACCGCTAACAAGATGCATTTTGATTAACGGACAAAAGCTATTTTTTAAGTCAGCCAGTCTGCATTTTTCCCACGCGTGAAAAATTTGCATACTAGAAAAACAAGCAACGGAAGTAATTCTGATTGGCTGATTCGGCAAATGTCAATCAATCAAAAAAGTGGGCGGCAGACATTTCGTAGAAGGTTTGTATCAGGCTCTCTTTTCGTTTCGTCTTGCCCGCCGAAATCTAATTTTCAAAGCGAAACGAAAATAGAGCCTGATCTCAGGTTATATAAGCCCGGAATGTTGGTACAGTTCGCATTTACATCACACTGATGAGTTTTATCCTTGCATTCGTCCAGGTGGAATATAAAAAAAAAAAAAACAAGAAAACAAGCATAAATCCGGGGGGGAACCCCCTACAATGACCTATAGGGGGAAGCTCCGGCCGAATTGCGAAATGGGTACCTTTTCCAGGCTTCAGGTGTGGTTGAAGTATATGAGAGGGTAGAGAAATCTGTGTCATTTTAGTCTGTAAAAAGACCTAAAAGGGCTAACAGAAGGATTTTATGGCTGTGAAAAAGTCGAGACAATTTCCTGGTTTTCTGATTTATTCACAGTTTAACGACAGTGCATTTACAGCAGCTAAAAGTAATGCAAAGTTCCAAACTAGGTATTTGAAAGGGGTACCATTTGTCAGTGGAAGGTACTGTGTAAGGGAGGGGTACCTTTTCTCTCAAAAGAAATATATAGAAAGGAAAGGAGCTGGACCTCAAGGCGGAGCTTCACAAGATAAAACTTTGCTGCGGAATTCCTCCTCCCCCGGGGGACACAGATGTTTTCTATCCCAGACTGTACGCATTCGCAAAAGAACCTCTTGTCCGTATATCCAAAAAACAGTTTTCATTGTTCAAGTCTGTAACAGGTGATATCTTGGTTTTAAGTGTAAGAATAACTATGGAAAGAGTATCAAAGGGAGTACTACCAAAGGGAGCTATGAGTCCCGACTCTTTAAAAGCACATCATAAAAATTAACCGGCAAATTTTTACCTTTACAAATGTTCCCATTGCCTGTGTAGCCAGGCCTGCATGTGCAGTTATAAGAGCCAGGTGTGTTTGTACAATTCGCATTTATGTGGCAATCATGGCTTCCCTTTTCGCATTCATCGATGTCTGAATAAGAAAAAGAAAAAAGAAATAAATATAAATTAAATCTGATCACGACACTTATCAGCAAGTTTTACTATTACAAATGCTCCCACTGCCTTGGTAGCCATGCCTGCATATGCAGTTGAAAGAACCAGGAATGTTGGTACAGGCCCTTGGAAGTAGTAAGCGCAAGAAAGCAGGGAACACCCCCCGTTTTTTTCTTGCTCCCAAATACTTCCCTGCGCCTGCTACGCATATTTACTTCCATCCTTGCATTCATCAATTTCTGGAGGGAGTAAAATGTTAAGTTACTGAGAAAACTAAATTATTTGCAGAAAAATGAAGAGAAGGTTTGGATAGTTAATTATACCATTACAAATGCTCCCATTTCCTGTGTAGCCAGGCCTGCACGTGCAGTTATATGAGCCAGGAATGTTGGTACAGTTCGCATTTACGTCACACTGATGAGTTTTATCCTTGCATTCGTCCAGGTCTAAAAAAAGAAAAGAAAACAATATCCGATCAATTAGCCACCAACCTCGTACATCTTATATAAACCATTGCCGACATTCAACGCAAGAAAATAATCAAGTTTGTAGTATGCTGATTGCTTAAGGGAAGACTGATTGTTTCACTCATTGCGAGAAGAGCAAGCATAAATCCCGGGGGGTACCCCCTGTAATGGCTTATACGGGGAAGCTTCGCCCGAATTGCGAAAAGGGTACCTTTTCCAGAGTTCAGGTGTATGAAAGGGTTGGGATTTCAATAGTTGAAGTATATGAGAGGGTAGAGAAATCTGTGTCATTTCGGTCTGTGAAAGGACCTAAAAGGGCTGACAGAAGGATTTTATGGCTGTGAAAAAGCCCTGAAAATTTCCTGGCCCGTTTTGTGATTTATTCACAGTTTGAAGACAGTACATTTACAGCAGCTAAAAGTAATGGAAAGTTCTAAACTAGGTATTTGAAAGGGGCACCATTTGTCAATTGAAGGTACTGGGTAAGGGAGGGGTACCTTTTCTCTCAAAAAATATTATATAGGAGGGTAAGGAGCTGGACCTCAAGGTAACCTGAGATCAGGCCCAATTTTAGCGGTTCTCATACATTCTCTCTAACGGCTACCGCTTTTCGTTACGCCTTGCCCGCCGGAATGTTATTTTCAAAGCGAAACGAAAATAGAGCCTGATCTCAGGTTAACCTCAAGGCGGAGCTTTCAGGATAAAACTTTGCTGCGGAACCCTCCCCCCGGGGGCACAGATGTTTTCTAACCCTGACAACGTTATTGAACAACATTCACTTGTTCTCTATTTCTGGGTAGGATACAGTTTCGTTTTTGCTAACCACCTCGAAGGATCTGGAAGCAACGGGCGATGGTAAGTTTCTAGTTTACTAGCTGGGGATTCCGTGTACGAGAGACGTAGACGTATTTCCAGTTTGTTTCTGCCCGAAAAGTATTGTTTGTGGCGCAGTCAAGCAAAAAAAGGACTGAATATGTCTGCGACTTTGCTGGCCATATAATCACCTGTTTCGCAGAGTTCTCCCGTGTAACCAGACTGGCATTCGCAAAGAAACCTCTTGTCCGTATATCCAACGAAACACTTTGCATTGTTCAAGCAAGGTTTGTAGGCACAAATATTCTAGTGAAAATGAAAGCGTAATTTAGACTTCATGAAATTTTAATATTATATTGTAGACTTCGAGCAGTTCCCTTTTCAGTCTGTCGAATCGAGACTTGGCAGAGCTCGATAGAGCGAACCAATCGACAAGGAGGGTCTGAATGGGGTTTAATGTTTGGTGTTATTTGCCCATAATTTTGAGTGTTTGCTGTTAAATTAGCGAATTTAGTAATGTTTACTGTTTCCGAAGAAATACTGTCAAGTGTTTGGAGGGTTCTTCGGACATCTTCGGCAATGATCGGACCTCTTCGTTAGTCTTCGGAAATCTTCGGTAGCCTTCGGAAATCTTCTAAAATAATCCGGAATTGTCGTAAAATGGCCAAAAAGTCCTTGATATACTAAACAATATAGTATTGGCCTTTTTGGAGCCGATTTTGCTTCTATCTGGGAAAAAATTATTGTTTCAAAGAATCTTTACTGTTAGTGTTGAAATGCCTAAAATTTAACTATTTCATGTAACAAATTAAAAAAATGAAGTGTTTAGTGTTATCCAAGTACCCCCCCATTCAGACCCTTGAGAAGGGAACTGGAGAGAGGCTTTTCCTTTTCCGTCTTCCCCCTTGCGCGTTTGCCACGCTCGCTCGCTCGCTCGCTCACACGTAACATTCTCGCACGCGCGACAATCCTGCGAGACTGCAACTAGTCAAAGCTCCCTATTACCATTCTCATCATTATTTTATGCCTTCTTCATCGCCGCTCGACATATCTTTGCCTAGACTTTGTAAAAGTCCGTTTTGGTTGATTTCCCCTGTTTGGAGGGAAGACGGACAAGTGCAATCTTCGGGAGAGAACCCAATACACGAGCGGTCACTATAACAGTTAACCGAAACAGGAAACCGCATATGAAAAGTCTCTGACACCCAAGGGTCGTCATCACTATCTTTTGATCGTCATTGTCATCATCATTTCCATAGCTAAAACTTCACTTTTTGGGCTATGAACAGTTAAACGCTTACCACAAGATAATTCACAACCATTGCCGTCATTAATTTATTCCAGTGAAATTCGCCATACCTGTGTACCTTTATACGTCCAACCTTCTCTTCGTTTTAAATCATTTGGATGCTGTATGTGATCTGAGTTACACAACTCACAGACTCTCATATCATTAATTACTGGACCAATGTTGATTGCCACGCACTCTCTCTGGTAAAGACATTCCGTTTCGCAAGATTTGCTTGCTCCAATGGAAAGGTTTAAAAAGGTGTGGCCTTGAAGATACATATGAAGGCCATACTCCCGATCAAAAAACTTCAAATACCGAATGGGACCACAGGTATCTAAAATTACATTTTAAAAAAAATAGCGATGTTAACGTCTCAACCACTTAGTCTTTTTTTACTATTCCACCACTAATTTCACCCACGTTAATTCAGAGAACACGTTAAAAAACATCAATGCAGTCTTTCGTTCTCCCACGCTCCTCGACCGTGATTGTTTATAAATGAATAACCGATCCTTTGCAGACTGCTTGCTGGACAAAAACATAACACCACCACCAACAACAACAACAACAAGAACAGGTTACACTGAATGTTAAGCAGTTAGTTATGCAGTGAGTAAATTGTTGCATTTCAAAGGGCAAGCTTTGTCGTCTCCACGGCAAAGTCAAATTGATGAAGTCGCACACTCGTTTAATTATTGATTTAAGGTTCAGTATAAGAGAAAGAGCAAGAGAGGAAGAGCTGATAAGGCCCTTAAAACCATCTCGATCATTTCACCCCTTCTAAAATTGACACCGAATTTTGAGGTAGATTTTTTTTTAAACAGTTTTTAATTTCCAGCTGATCAGATGTGGTTCTAGAAACACATCCCCCATCTCCCTTGGGCGGGCACAAAAATTGTAGGCTAATCTATGTCGCCGTACATGATCGTTTGTGTCGTAAGCACAACAACGCAGCTGCATTTTTCTTGTCACTTTTTTCCCTTTCCTAGTTGAATATCATGCATAAAAATACGCGTCTAAAATTGCACTAGTTATTGATTTTCTTCAAAGTTTGGTAATCTGTTAATTAACGTTTAAGGTGAGCCTCAGTGCAGTCTGGACCCAAAAGAATGTCTGATACTGATTCCAAGTACGTGGGAAAGGCTCAGTTGAGTCATTGATTGTCCTCAAAAGAGAAAGGTTTGCATGAATAACTAGAAGTACTGATGATTCATAAAAGTGCAAATAAAACTTTTCCTGTCATAGCTACGGCCGGTCTGTGTTTTTCTCTCATTAACCTTAGCTTAAGTTATGAACTTTTCAGATATCCGTTGTCGTTGTTCTATTTTAAGTTCTCAACAATTTTCTTTCCTTGTGGTTGTAACAAATTTAGGGGTATGTAGTCAAACATTTTGAACTAAACGATAATGACTTTTAAAAGTCATTTCAAAAAGACTTGTCCAGTGCCGTCAAAACCGTCTTCAAGAATTTTGTTCCTATTACATCGTAATCTAGCCCGCCTTGGCTTTTTCTTTTATAGTTTTTGTTTTTAGGGTAACGTAGTAGTATACTATATCCACAACTTCAGCCAAAAATCATGGGACCTGAATCGTTCATTTTGCTTAGCACAGAGTCAGGTGTAGTCCTCTCCCATGTTGAGTTTCAACTTCTTTCCGAATGGGAGGAAGCGAGGGTTATAAAATATTACACCTAGTAGCAAAACAAGAATGAAGGTGAATGTATAAGATGTGTGCATATATTAACAGTTGGCTTTAGTCATACCTTGATTTGCACTAGCAATGCAAGCAGCCAAGCTCCCCAGAAGAGGCAGGTCAAGAAGAGTGCTTGAACGGACAAGCAAAAGCCAGCCATGCCCGGATGAATTTGCCAGAATGCTACCTTAATCGACTTTCGTCTTAATTTTAAGCTGAGATCACGGTCACGAACTAATAGCCTACTCAGTTCAGTTTGACACGTTCTGTTATCAGTTGTCGTGTTAATTAATTTTTCCAAGTTAACAACAATAGCCAGCAAAATTAAAGCCGCACGTTATTTTTTTTTACTTCCTTCAGTTTCAGTTTTATTTATTAACTCTAATTGCCTTTAATGCAGCTAGCCACTATTTGCGTTAAATTTCTTAACATCTGCCAAAACGGCCGTGCGTTTTGAAGCTTTCTTGTTAAATATCTCCCGAAAAAAACTGAGAATTAAAAATATTTTTTTTTAAAAACAATTTATCATGTTTTAGTTTTTTTTGTCATTGTTCTTGGATTTTGCGTCTTGTTCAGCTGGAGTATGAGCAGCAGTATGATACGTGCAGACTCAATTAATTTCAAAGTAATATTTTACCTAACTTCAATTTAGCGGATACTTTTAGTTTGGCATATTTTTTTAATAATATTTTAACAGCCGGATATCATTTCAATTGAAACTTTATCTTAGCTGCCAATTTTTGTTTCTACGGTGGCCCGTAAGGGACATTTGCAATTTTTTTTGCTGAAGTTATCGCGCGATAAGTTAAAATTTTCGCGCGATAAATTGCAACTTCTCACATGATAAAGAGAAACTGGAACGTTGCGTGTGGAGAGATACAGTAATGATAACACAAAATGTTATACCTAATCTAATAGGAATGTAAAATACAAAAGTTTAATCCTGGCAATTTTAAAGAACAAAACTTTAATCCTGTATTAACGCTAATTGGCCTTTCAGGATCCGGGCCCCAGGACATATTATTTGTTCATTTCTTTGGATGAATTTGGACTCGGTCCTCCTTATCATGTGGATATTTTAAGGTTTTCTAAATTAATTTTGCCTAGTCTGCTGAGCAAAATTACGATTATATATCATGAAGTTCATTCGTATCAATCTTGCGAAATGCCTCTCAGATTGTGCAATGAAATAAGGAGAATAAATCATCCCTCGTGTCCCACAGTGAAAACAATCCCGGGGGAGAGGGAGGGCAGTACTCCCTCATATAACATATAGGTATGTGCCGCCCCAAAGGTATGGTTTTTGGTGCCGTTTTGGTTTGAAAACAGGTATGGTTCAGTGACCAGAAAACCGCTCAACTAGTTTCATAACGCGTTTCCTTCCAATCTCTAGGGGGCGAATAGGCTGCTTATTTAACTTACTGATAACTGTGTGCTGTAAATTTCTTCGCAATGGTTGTGTGACACATGGCTCTTTTCATAGCCACAACATAAGCTTACTTAAAAGGTCTTTACTACTTTTTTTTTACAGTGCGGTTTGTCTCTCAGGACTAGTGATATTACTGTAAATAAAAACTTGGAAGAGGGTACGTGACAGGCCGCACATCTTCACCGGCGTGAAACCTTTGAAAACCTTTTTACATATTCCTCCAGTGAGGCTTTTCAGGGATCTTACATTTTAAAAATTTGAACGATGATATAGCTTCTATATAGCGGACCAAGATACGGTTCGGTACAGTTTATGTTCAGCAGGGAAACTATGTGTAGAGCAGAACCTTTAAAATGTACAACAGACAATTTATTCAGTTCGCACGTTCCCTGTTGAACTTGTAGCCGTTTATGCGATATGTCTGCTCAAAAAGATAATAATTTTTTCCATAGCTGCTGTAATTTTAGGGTATCTGCTTTTAATATCTTCGTACAGTTTTAGGTTTACGCGATCTCAGAGAGCTATGTTCAGCTGTACACAGCAAGTAGTCTTTAAATATATCCAGATCTGACACTGGTTTTGGGTAGTTATCACGTCTTTAGTAGTAGTTGGCTTAAAAGTTAGACTGTTACTCGTTCTTAGTATGATAGAAAAAGGTCAACATCAAGATAATGCATGCATACATGCATGTAACGTTTCCGCTCTCTTTATCATGTGATATATTGCCATTTATCACGCGATAACCTGACTAATTATCGCGCGATAATTCAAACGTATCGCGCGATTATTTAAACTATCGCGCTATAAGTTGAAATTATCGCGCGATAACTTAAAAAAAAAATATATTGTAATGTCCCTTACGGGCCACCGTATGTTTCACTGTTTAATACGGATCTTTTGGAATAAAGCCGTTTTTTAGTTTAAAACGTTTAGTGAGTTCTCTCCTTCGAAAAAAGACTATCGTCTCAACACATGCACTTGTTGGGTACTTTTTATTAAATCTAAAATGACAAGAATATACGCAATTCAAGGATCCGCCCTGATATTACCATGAGGATAAGGATAAGTGCTTTATTATCAACAGAGCGCCTACAGACACATGTGTTTACAATGATAACAAAGATTTTCGTGCAATAATTACAGACGGTAGCAACAATGTAACTGAAACGGCTACCGAA